GTTAAAAAGCCTGCATCCTATCATGACTGAAATGACTTCAGAATAGACTACATGATAATCACTATCACAACCTGAGTCAATGCTGATAAGCGAAAGGGTATCCATTTTTTGCACATGTCAGCCCAATGTGCCACGGCCTCGGCGGATCTTGTACCGGACTTCGACATATCGGCGTTCTGGAGAATCATGTCTGGCAGGATACATTACGTAAAAAGAAACTCATATAAAGAAACGGAGCCTCCAGCTGTCTCCATACCAGTCGTACACTTCCATGCAAAACTATTTATTATCCTTCCAATCCGTTTGTCCACGGTGAGCGCGGAACGTTTTGTTTTCTAAAATTCTCGGAATGATGTATTAAAGATAAAGCGTCTGTCATCTGTCATTTAAGTCACCACAGCGTCTCGAAACAGTGATTGTTACTTGGTGCCTGCCACAGGATTGAACTATCGTGCGACACAGTGCACTTACCTTATGCGAGTCAGAGAGCCCAGGACACACGTCAGACCCTGTCGCAGTTCTGCCAATTTTCCTCCGTACAGAGCAACGAGTTCGTTGGGCGCATCTCGCCCTTTGATGGCATCTCGGTCTGTAGAGATCAATGACTGCAGCACCTGTAGAATTCGTATAAACTCAGTTTCGACAGTCTAAATTGAAGAAAAAAGGCAGAAAGTTCAACTAAGTTTGAGTAATTCGGTATACCCATAAGAGATAGACAGAGCCCTTTACCATTTTATTGACAGATAAACACTGAAAAACACGCATATATTAACCAGGCGATCTCGGTGCATTATATTTGCCATTGATCTCAACGAAGGCATGTCTTTCAAAGTATTCCTGATTTAATGCTTCCTACTCATGAACATCCGAATATCATAAGCAAATTCTACAGACGTTCGGCGTAAGTGAAATATGCATTTTAGGAGGCGAAAAAAAAAACAACTTTCTTATAGACCTTTTGACATCTTCTAGAAATTCAGCATTTGTTACCGTTTAGATACTGACAGGTAGGGGGTAAACCCCTGAAATTCGCAGGCACGCTTACGATGTTTATGCCATTGATTTCCTGCCATCGTGTGGCAGGTTTCACACGACTAACATACACAGACTCAGACATTATGGCTATTTAGCGGAGTCACTTGATGTACTCAGAACAAAACGTCGAAAATATGCATTGTGTTTTACGACTTTCCAATACAACCATACGTTCAACAGGAACCCCAAAACTAAAACGAACAAGTACGAACATCTGGAGTAGACTTTAGAACTAATTTAACCAGATCAAATAACCGACAAGATTCAGAATCAACAGTTGAAATATCAATAGAGGAACATATTCGAGTTCCAGGAAAGTCGGAGACAGGCGCATGTCTTCGACTTTCCTACGATTACTCTCGACGGAATCCGAAACGTCAGCAAAATAAAACTCTTGTTTCAGTGCTCACATCTCCTTCTGAGTTGAAATACCACACACTATTAACTAAAGTATCGCGCCGTTCATATATGCAGTTTTGAAGCCATACCCTGGTTACGTGAGGGAGATTAGAGGGTGTGGTTCCACTTATAAGAAGCGGCTTCTTACCTCAAACTCTTGGACGAAGGATTTCGACGAAATCGGCGTTGATCGAAATAATACGTCATCACCAAAGTGATCCAGACGAAGCTGCAACGCAGCGCACAGATCGCACAGTTCCTCTAATCGCTGGATGGCGTGCAGACAGAGTTGACAAGTCTGCAGTTGTAGACGACACTCCAAGAGACGCCGAGACAACTGACCCACTTGATCAGTTGTCCAAGAATAAAAGCTTCGAACATCCGTAGTTGCAGCAAAAGTATCATCGCGGACACAGACCTCTAGGTGGTCATGCAGTTGGCCTACTTCCATCTCCAATCCCTGAAGAAAAAAGGATAAAAAGGGAGAGGCAAATTAGGTGCGCAAAACGAGAATCAAAGTTAACCGTAATAATTCCTGTCTGAGACCAACCTCGAGGTCATGGTGGTTACGGAAAAGATGTCTCTCCGAGGTGGGAACTAGGAGAGCGCAATGCAGGGCAGCGATTTGTGCAGAAAGGGTGTTTAGTTTGTGACAAATATTCACATTTTGGCCTGCCCAGCAAATCCTGCTTTTTAGTGAGGTAGTTCTTTCCGCAAGGCAGATTAGGGCGGATTGCAGACTAGATGAGTGGGAGCAAAGAAAACTTTAGAGAGTAGGGTGGAACCGAAGAATGTAGGAAGCAAAAATTAACATCAATGGCTATCCCTGCGTGTTTCGGATCAACCAAGAAACGCACTTCTTGTATATTTCTTCTGAGGCCTGTCCGGCGGAACTCGTTTGTGCTGAATCCCCAATGAGAATGGTGGACAACTGCTTAGCGACATTCGTGTAGGCCTGCAAGAAAAGATCCATCATGGAATATGTTACGTAGGAAATTAGTAACTTTCCTCTATTACTGAAGTGAAAATGCATAATTAACTCAACTGAACCACTTCCTGCACCAAGGTATCAATAAAACTCATAGGTATCTTAGGCGCCATCAGGGAGATCGTCCTCGGTTTTGACGAACTACTTCTGGAAGAATGTTTTAAACACTTATTTGATGGTTCAAAACTGGCGACCTCGAATGAACCAAAGTTGCCTCGTGACAATTACAACGAATCTTTACTGGGCCAACCAGTGAATTCAAATAGATGGCTAGAATGGCTAAAGCATTTTCTATGTTTACAACAAAATACAGAGGGCCTATAGCAATGGTTTTTAAAATCATCGAAGTGATAAATTGTGCTTTCAACTTAGGCATTTTGGAACTGGCTGGGAGGATAAATATTCCAGACTATCGAAAATACTTAATAACAAATTATGCCAGCTTTTAAGTGCAGACAAACGGCTTTTTCAAACGTACGACTTAAGAATTGAATAAGATGTTGAGGTCGGTGATCTTAGGAAAAAACGTCTAGAAATTTAAAAGAAGACTTAATGAGCATATATACATATATATGCATGCTTCATATGGATGACTAACATTATGTCCGCAAATCAATATGTTCTAAGGTTTATCCATAGATCTGCGAACAGATTCCTCTAGGGCTCTGCTTATGTCTCTTATATATACCGAATTGTACTTAAAAATATAAACGGCAGTCCAGTCCGAGAGTCACTACTAGTAGAAGCGCATACTGCTGACTCCCTATGCTTACTTACTGATTTACAGGTTTATTAGTGAATATTGTTCTCATTAGGATGTTTAATAAAGCAAGCACTTTTAATCAAATTTATCAGGATACACGGAAGAACGGCATATAAGTGTCGTCGAACCGAAAATGTAAAATGAAAGTTTTCGGAAAGTGGCAGACTCATATAACAGTGCAGTCATCAAATCACATACAAACTTGCAGGACAGCCAGATGGTGAGGTTTATCACTAATTTAACAGACTCCAGGAGACAATTATTCTGCCGAGTTTTCCCATTCAACCATGTCATAATATAAGCTGCGTTTTGGAAAAAAAAATCGATGGTTATGGTGTAGTCGCGGATGCAAATACATCGGGCGCACGCAAAGGCAGTTGGCAACGCGGACAGCTGAACATATGCCGAAGTGGTTGCTCAGGGCGGAGAAACATTTTTCTAAGAGTTCGATCACAGAGCACTCAGTGGATACTGGCCATACAGTTGACCAAAAGATCGCGTTTAAGGTCGTACTTCGGGCGGCGACTGGACGTCTCCTACGATTTGCC